GAACATTTTTTAATAGCTCATCATCAACATTTTCAAGATTAAATGTGACTCCTTGACCTGCGGCTGTTTGGTCAAGAAAAACACAACTTGGTGGTCAAATGGTCAAGATTTAGACAATTCAATTACTTGGACTTGGGTCTGATTAATCATCAAATACATGTCAATCAAGTTTGTTGACATTTTGCTTACTTTTTATTTTCAATTTAATCAACTTCAATATAATGAAAGGAACAATTGTCAATATGAGAATCAAATAACAATTTTCCGACTTTTCATGTATTCTGTAACATGGAAAGTAATATTATTGTCTTCATCTTTTCTAATGATTTCAAGATTAAATGATTCTTGTTGAGTTCAGAGTTTATAAATATTGATATTCAATCTTTGTTCAGACTTTTCAGTAATGAGATTATGATTCAACTTTATTTTCACTTTTCATTTAATAATGAGTTTCACCTGAAAAGACAAAAAACTTCAAAATTTCAATCTCAAGATTGAATCGATTTGGCATTTTGTTTCAAACTCAGAATTGATGAGAAAATCAAAATAAATTAATAACTTAATTATTGTTGGTAAAGTCAATCTGATTGCTCTTTGACTTAAATTTGATTTGGAATTGGATTCATTTTGAGTCTTCCAATTAAAAAATGATTGAAACTCATTTTCCAGAAAACCTAAAAAATTTGTTCTTAAGTTGTTCAAGTTATCAAATAAGATTGAAACAATTCCCTTGAAATGCGTCTCAATAAATTCATCACTTTAATTGGATAACAAATTACGACTTTTGTAATTAAACAGAATCAAATTCAAATTCATTTAGATAGAAAATTTCGAGTTGAAATGATTTCCCGAATTTGTAGATAGAATCCTTGAAATCCTGGAAATTTCATTTTGAATCAATAATTGAAGGAAAGCATGACTTTCACACTAATCCATTGAATAGCTCAGATTATCACGTTTTTTCGAAGATAATTTTTAAGATCATTTATGAAACGCTTTGATAGTAAAATGAATAAATGTTTTTCCACCTTTTTGTTGAACCTACTTTTTTTCCTATTTCAACATGATAAATCCAGAACAGTTCAACTCCATCAACGTCCAAGCAAATTGTTTCTCATTGATGAATCTAAATGAAACTGAGTTTCATTTAACTCAATACCAACTGTTATTTAAATGAACTTGCAATTGCTTCATCAATAATGCATCTTTCAAGGCACGTGACTTTACTTGACAATTTTTCATTCAATATTCAATTGAATTTCACCAATTCAATATGAAACCCAACAAGTTGATACTTTTTTTCATCCTCAAGTCTCCTGATTTTAATAAAAATAAAGGTAACTTGTAATAAACTGGGAACCGCTTTGATAACAATATTAATGGCACTGGAACCGCATGAACAAAGTGAAGGTAAAACATTGAGTAAAACTTGATAATCCAATTTCCTGGTTTATCTGATCACAACTGAAACAGTGTATAACATTTTGTCTCAACTTTTTCATGTTAAACTTTTGTTTGCTCGAGATTCATTATCAATGGTAAACAAATTGTTGCCAATTGTAAAAGGTAAATCAAGATTATTCCTTGATTGTGATCAAGAAAAGGTCGTTTCTTTAATTTGGTTACAAGTTTTGTCGCCGCTCATTTATGCTCCATGGTTAAGGGTGAAACAAAACAAGACTCATCCTGTTCGGAAATGAATGGTAACCTAGTTTGCTCTCGGTGTGATAATTGGTTGATTGTTTTGCGATTTCCGTTCACAGTTTGTCGCTTTTCTGTCTGATAATAATTTAATTGATAGCAATTAGCTTGTTAAAAAGCCAAGTATAATTGCGCAGAGAACATGAACAAGGAAAAAGAAGAATCTCAATGATGAACATTTTTACTGTTTTTGGCAGTCTACTTGTGCAGTTGACATTCATCAACATTTCAATAAAAAGTTTCGAAATCAGATTCTAAAGTTAATTTCCTCAAAAAATTCCACAATTGATTAACTCAGAGAAAGGTTGCCAGACTCAGAGTCTCTTGACCTGGTTCAAGTGACGCCAATTGTCTTGTGGTTTATCGAGTCGATCTCAGTCGATCGAGAAAAAACTTTGTTTCCAAAAATGATTTTCGAGTCGAGATGAAAGTTGAATTTGTTTGATTGCTCAAATTGTTGTAAAATCAATTCTTTATTAAATTGTATTCAAGTTTGGTAATTGCAGTTTAATTAGATTATCTTTGAGTTAACAATTTTTTCGACTTGTTTTTTTGTGCGATAAAAATGAAAATGAATATTCAAATTTGTCTGCTTTTTATATAATCATTATGTGAACAAATGAATTCACCATCAATGTGAAACATCAGGTAAAGACGAAGGAGGCATGAATGAAAGGTGAAGATAAAAGATGTTTTAAGAAGGTAAGAAAAGAAGATGATTAAGCAAAGTGAGAAGGAAAAAAAAGTTCCAACATCTTAAGAGAGAATAAAGTGAATTAACATGAAAGATGAAGAAAAAAAGTTCACGATAAGGTGTTTGATGGAATTATTGATGATAGATGTTTTGATAATATTATTTGTTCCAAAGGAATTGTGATGAAAATATATTTGCATCTCAACCTCTTTTTTTCCTGTTATAATCCTTGTCTATCCGGAAAACCCAAAAATACAACAAGAATTATATCAAAAAGTTCAAGACTTTCTCTTGATAACAAACCTCTAATTAGAAATGATATTTTTAGGCTTAAAAGGTTTCAAGACATTCAGATGACAGTTAATTCAGTCAATGATACAAATGCTCTTAACCATTGTTTAAACATGTAAACATGTTGAGTTGATGATCCATTGAACACTTTCGTCTTTGGGTTAAAGTGAAAAGACTGATTCTCATCATTATCACTGTGATCGTTACTCTTGACATATCCCAGCATTTACAATCAAATGAATCCTTCCAATGAATATTCAATCATATTAGGCGAGTTGATTAATTTACCGTTTCTCGATTCCAATTGAATCACACTGTTGATCATTTTTCATTAGATTATCTTGTTTTTCATCATGCTTCCAACTTCTCTTTCCATTCTTATTGTTCTGCTTCATCATTCCCATAAAACATTATTACTCTCATCTTGTTCATTAAATTGAATAAAATTATCTTCCATTAATGCCAGTCTTGCCAATCGCCATGTTCACTTGTAACAATTCATTGATCAACTCTGTTTATCCATTGTTTTTTGGCGATCCAACCGCTCTTTTCAACACTTTTATCTTAATCATAATTTATCAACTAGCAAACTGATTTAACTTAATTGTATTAAATTTTGGATTCACTTAGCTTCTTCCCTTCTTTTGCCTCACACTTTAATCATTTCATTTATTGAAATGTACTCAACATTCACCAAATTGAATTACAGAAATGGTTTTTTCCCTTCTTTTTCGAGGTTAACAATGGTAAATGATTTGATCACCAATTTCATCACCATCACCATCCTCATCATCATCAACAATTTTTTTGCTTCTTCTTCTGTTGATCAAAATTTGAATTCAATTATGTTGATTTATTTTCCCCTTTTACTCGTTATTATTTGCATTTCATCTATTTATAAGAATTTCATTTCATTTAAAAGGTTAAATTTTCTCAGCATGATCTTTGTGACTTCAATTTTGTCTGAAGCTTTACTTTTTTTCTGTTATAAAATGTTAAAGTGCAACAACAGTCAACAAAAAATCCAAGTTAATGATAATTTTTTCTGCTGTTGCTGTCCCTGATGATATTCCCTATGACTTAATGGTTGCACTATTTTACAATCAGGGATTCATTTCCGTTCAGTTGAAACTATCTTTATGGTTTCATGTTACCCAATCAATTGATTTACGAAACTGTCTTTACCAATAAGGTTCTAGGCTTACACTTATTTCAAGTTATATAACAAGTGAAGTAAAAAAGCAAATAAAAATGTGAACAAAATAATGTTGACAGTTATTTCAATTAATAGTCTTGCTATTGCATTTAATCATTTACAGATTGAAAGATTAAATAGATAATCGTTTAGTGATTTAAACAGATTAATCATGTAACAAAGTGAGGTCAGAACGGGAATAAACCAACAGTTTTGAGCAAAACTGATTGATTTGGTAAAATCACTTATTCAAGACTCTTAAAGAGTCAAGAATCAAGATCGTATTTCAGCTTTAAACACTTTATTAATTTCAATAAGATTTAGGACCAGCAAAAGTTAAGGGTTAAGCAAGTCGGACAGAGTTGGTTAGATCATTGGATATCAGTTCATTCATGATATTCATGAAGTCATTGTGAAGATGAATTTTCAAGTGTGAAAATGCTTTTAATAACTAAACATTTACTAACATCTTTCATTGAATGCTGACTTTTCATAGCCATGGTTACATTGCTATGTTAATTAACCATTTGTATTGTTTGATAACATCTTTTGTCAAATTGAATCAAATTTTGAACCAATTTGAATGAGAAAATTCAATTAATGTTCGGAAAATGTTCGTTTAATTTTGTCAAAAATTCTTTCATAAACTGTGATTTCTATTGTCACGGAGGAAAGTTTTTCTTCAATGAATTTGAAACAATTTACACTCATTTAAAGTTTACAATTTTATTTGCTTTAATACATGCTGTAGTTTAACATTTACATTATTGATATTTTATTTGATCATAAATGCAATCAAATGAAACTCTTGAAACTTTAATTTTCTCTCTGTAATAATTATCCTTTTCAAGTTGCACTAATTTGGATAATTAAACCTTTTAATGTCCAAATGGGAACCTTTTCCACTCATCCTATCAATACTGATGAAGCAACATTAGAACTGGTCAGTTTCAAATGAACTGTATCAAATGAGTTTGCATTAATGATGATGGTAATGATATCAAATGATAATCATCAATATCAAGAGTAAACTGAATGACCACTTCATTGGTAGTCTTGAAACCAGCAAACATTGAACCAACAATCTAATCTTTCAATTTTAACCTTTTATTACAACAGAAACAAAAGCAACGAAAAAAAAGTCTAAACCCAAATTGACTTTAACCAAAAAACTGGCTAAAAGTTGAGATCAACATCGAGATCGGAAAAGTAAAGATTGGCGAAAAAAATTGTAAACCCAAAATGAAACCTCGAAAAATGATTTCTGGTCCGATTGGTGAACCTGATAGTCTTCTTGGTGGAGTGAGCATCTGGAGGGAACAACAAACTCAATTAGAGGTATTGTATTTGTAATCAACTGATTATGACCATTAAAAAGATGAGTCTTGTTTCTCAATTATCCAACTCTTTTAATAAATGATATTTTTCTACTTCTCTTTTCTTCTTGACCATTTCTTGATGATAACCATTACTAAACTGGATTACAATGATTATTCGATGACAAACTTGCGGTTCCACCATCAACAATCATGATTTATTCTGAATTAACTCCACTCATGGATGGCGTCTTTCCAATGGAATTGCCATTTTCTGGTTTCCATCAAATTCAATTTACTTCAACATTCGCCTTCTGGTTATCATCATTATCATACTGATCATCTTGACCAATTGTGTAATTGCAGAAAAGTTTACGATTAATGAGGAAACGTCGGACAAATGGAAACAACAATTGTGAAACAATTAACGGAAAATCAAAATTAATTTCCAATTCAGTTACAAGTTCAAGCAACAGTTCCAATTGTAGTAATATAAATAGCAATTATAGCAACAGCAGCAACAGCAGTATAAGCAGTAATAGCAGTACAGTTAGCAGCAGCAGTGCCATTAATAATCAGATCAATTCAAGTGTACTAGTCACCAATGGTGGACAAAATGGTTCCAACATGACGGATGATTTTGACGCGTCCGTGGTTGACGCCAGCGAATCAACCGATGATTCAAGTTCAGTCGACGAACTGGAGACGAATCGAAAGCGAAACCGTCTCTCACCTTCTTTAACAAACGGTGCAACCTTTACCAATGGATCATCACTATCGGTGTCCTTTAACCACACCAACAATGGGCAAGGGCGCAGACGAAAGTCAACCATCTCTGCCCGTGAACGTAATCTACGGCGACTAGAGTCAAATGAAAGGGAACGCCAACGGATGCACAGTCTGAATGATGCTTTCCAATCGCTTCGAGAGGTTATACCGCACATACGCTTGGAAAGGAAACTGTCCAAAATTGAGACGCTAACGTTGGCCAAAAATTACATCATGGCGTTGACCAATGTTGTCTGTGAGATGAGAGGTGAAGAGTTGCCCTACAAGAACCTTGTTCAATCGCCTGATCCTTCGGATGGAAGCAGCCAAGATGTTGGACTTATACTGAGCAACAGTGAGGTTAACGAGGGAATCACAATGATCAATGGATCAAGAGCATTACAAGCCTCCAGCTGTGCCAATTCAACATTCAATTTTGACTCAACCACTTCAACGTCAACACCAACCGTTGTAACAAGACGTAACACTCAACGTAACAATGTTGTTAACAATAATCAAAATGAAAATAATGAGAACAATAATACAATTGAAAATCAATTTTCCCTGCAAATGCCAACACCGGCAACAACAATAGGCTCATCTTGTTCACCTTCAATCCAATTGTCCAATGGATTGGCTGGCGATTCATTTACTTCTGTCATCACCGCAGAAACTGAATTAACCTCAATTGGTGACATTAGTCTTCTTAATCCATTTAAAGGTTCATCAACGTTAACATCATCATTATCATCATCTCAATCAAGATTAGTCAATTGTTTCTCTGGTCTTATTGCTGATGAGGCTCTGGTATCAACTGGTAAACTTGAGCCTTGTTTGGATGCCAAAGCAATCCTCAACTTTCCAGATGATCTTTAACACTTAACCAATCATTATATGATAATTATTTATTCAAATTGTCTTAACCTTCTAATCCTTATTGTCTCATAATTCACTCATCATCATTAACCATCACTCAACACCCAACAAAAGAGATGCTAATGTTTAATCAATCCACCCATCATTGATAAGAAGAAGAAGAAGAAACATTCAGTTTAACATGAACATTAATCGTTTCCACCATCGTTTCCATCATCTTCACCACTTTTCATTTCACAATCAACATGTGTTTTCATCAGCATCATCATGATTGATCCATTGACACCTGTTAAACCTATTCAATAGATTATTGTTAATCAGGGTTAGATAAATACCCAAACATACACATGCATCCAAACACACATCACACACAAAATGGATGAGATGACAAACACACCAAAATAAAGGAATCCAAATCAATCATATAAAAGGATCAAAATCATAACAGTTTAACATAATCATTATAATCATAATCATCGTCGACATTGAACAAATTACTTATAATAGATGATCAATGGAAAGCAAAAAGCATCGAGAAAAGACGAGAATCAAGAATTGTAATTCAACTAAAAGAAAGCAACAAAAATCACAATCAACTGTAATCATTAAAACTCGACTCATCTTCAAGTCAACCAAAAGTTTAACTTAAATCTTGAAGCCAAACACAAACCCAAATCTTCATGTTAACCCAAACTAATTGAATGACTTTTAGCTTCTCATCGCTTGCTTTTTATTTTAATTTATTGAGACAATAAAATGTAAATAACAATCTTAATCAAAAGCTCAGCTTACAGATTAAAAGTAATAATTGTTTCAATTAGTTTAAAACAATAATCAAATGTTAAACCTTCCTAAAGGCCTCTTTAAGAAACAGTTTAACCGTTTGCAATCCATCAACCCAATGGATCTTGAGATTTAACAAATTTTACCTTTTACCTTATTTTACTCAATTGAATGCATTCAAATTAATTCATTGCAATACAATATTATCATTAACGATAGTTTAGATCCAAAGTCAGGATTATTTAGATTTAAAACGCATGAAAAACACACAAATGATTGTAAGCTACACAAATCTTGCAATAATGTTGATTATTGTTGATTAATCGTTTCCAAATAACCCAACAACATTGTACCATTTAGAGTTCCTTAACAACATTGTCATCGAAACAATTAACATCAAAGTTTTTGCTTATTTCTTCATTTCCAATCACAATTAAAATCAATGAAAAAAAAACCTTCCAATCGTTATTGTAATCCATTGAACATTTCTCTCTTTTTTGATTCAAATCAACAATTGAAATCTTCTTAGCTAAGCCTGCGATAAATTAACATGTAAAGAGTGCAATCATTTGTTTCAATTTTAATCAAAAAAACGCAAATCATGAATCAATTATAACCTTTAAACGCTATGTCAATCATTTGATTAATAAATGTGATTCAAATTTTCCCTTTTATTTTACAATTTTTCATTCCAACATTCATTTCTGTCTTTGAGCTCAATTCAATTTCTTTTGTTTTTCTTTCCCTGTTTCACTTGATAATCCAAGAGTATTATCACTATTATATCATGATTTAATGCAAACAATCAAACAAATGATTCCTTCAATACTCAACTTTAACCTTTAATTGTGCTTTTAATTGTGTAAATTTTTCTTCCTCCATTCATCTCAAATCATATACATTGATATGCAAATAAATGAAGAAACAGAAGAAAGAAAATCAATTTATCCAAATTATCATTGTAATAAACATCAACAGTCTTTTGCTTGCCAACAATTTACCTAATTGATCCTTAAACATTGAAAATCATTCTGTAATCAATAATTGAAATGTAAAATTCGGTTGAAATTAAACTCTCAAATTTCACTTGTAAAAATGGGTTCCTTTTGTTTTCACATTTAAAAGCAACACTTTGGGTACATTTTGATTTAATCTTGATTTAATTTTGATTTTCTTTTGATTCTTTAATTTCCTTTTGAATTCACCTTCGTTTCATCAATAATCTTGAGTTTTACATCTTCACTTGAATGGCTTTCGATATTAAGTGGGCGCTCTTTTGGTGAAGTCAAACCTTTAGCGTCAGTTTTAGGGTTACCTTTTGATATCCTTTTAAATGTGTCGGCAACACTTGAATCCATTGTTGCCTTTGAAGGGAAATTTTGTACGCTCTCTGAAGCTTTGTTTGATTTCAAGATTTTAAGATTTGAACTCGTCTCTGGTTTGGCTTGACTGCTTGGACCATCCGATGTTTTGGTGGAAGCCTCTTCATTCCGGTTAATTGAAGATGTAGGTGATGATTCAAAGAAGCATCGGTGAAGTATGAAAAAAGCAAAGCCAATCAAGATTATCCAAATGGTAACAATCAGATAAATTTGCCCAGTTGCAAGTTGACGTTCCTTTGGATCATCGATGTTGATGTTTTGAAAGCAACTGGTTGTAACAGCATATTTCAACAAATTAACCAGAAAATAGATTTTCCTGGAAAACATTATCATCTATTGTTACATGATCAGCAAATTGTAGTTTATACTCCTTTGGGTTTGGGTATAAAATATGTTTGTGAATATCCTTAAAGCTCACAAATCATCCAGTTGTAACTGTTAAACAGGGAAATCATTGATTTCATCATTCACTTAATCTGATCAATATTTCAAATATTAGCAGCATTAAATTTATAGCTTACCTTTTATTAAATTGATGGCACATTAAGTATAGGTGAACCTGAAAATGGGTAAAAGTCGTCCATCATCCATAATCTGGAACTGATTTGATTGCACAAATCCACTGTATCTGATCAGTTCAGGAAATTTTATAAACAAATGGTGACCGTAAAATTGGCATCGATAATTTTGGTCAATCTTGATTCCACTTTTAATCATATTTGTTAGTTTGTTTAAATTGTAGACTAAAAACAGTTGACTATTGATCAAGCAATTTCACTTTTTTTTTCAGTAAAATCTATTTTACGAGCAAAAATTATGGATAATTGTAAGCTTAAAGGTTGTGACGTGATTGGTCAAAATGAAAAAGCTGTTGCTTGGTGGAAACAGAAACTGTCTGGTCTTGCTTTGGTTAATCTTCCAGTTGATTACATTAACCAAGATTTGTCTTTAACTGTTAAATCCAATTCTTTAAAGAAAATTTTAAATCCCAAATTAAGTAAATCGATAGTGGATTACATTAATAAACAACAATTGCGTCCAATTGCTTTTTTAGATGCAGCCTTTAGAGTCTTGCTTTATAGATATTCCCAACAAACGGATATTACTTGGTCGGTTACTTGTTGCTCAAGGAAACCTGAGTCAACAAAAACAGTATCTCGACTGGTTAGTGATGGTGCCTTTAATTTTGGTTACTTCTGTCAACAAGTCCAATCGTTTTACAATCAGTTGTTGGACAACCATGATCAGCTGTTGTCGGTGCCTGTTGAACAAATTGCCAAATCAATTGAAGCCAAAGCGTTGAATGTACATCTTATTGGACCGTTAACTGGCAAGGATGGATCGACGAAAGAAAATGGTTTGTTGGACAAACAGTGGACGAAAAATCTTGATGATTATGACTTGGTTGTTCGAATGGATTTTTCTGAAGACAATCGCCTTGGAATTTATTACTGTTTCAAAGGCAATCTTTTCAAAGGCTCAACCATTGATCGTTTATCGGAGCATTTTGTTAATCTTCTTGATTCTTTGATCAATAATTTGTCTTTTAAATTGGATGATCATGTATTAATGGATAAAGAAGAACTTTCGCTTCTTGAAAGTTTCAATCCTGATTATCCCGCCTCTGTTGGACAAAGGCTTTTCATTGAAATGTTTTATCAAAGAGCTGATTCTCAAACTTATTTCCATGCGATCAAGGAACAATCTCGAGCTGTAACTTACAAAGAACTCAATTTCAAGTCCAACCAACTGGCAAACTATTTATCTAATAAATATGCTGTTAAATGTGGTGATATGGTTGCTATCATGTTGCCTCAAGGAATTGACAATTTTATTTCACTATTGGCAGTTTTAAAACTTGGGGCTGCTTTTGTCCCGCTTGGTATTGACTATCCTGGAGATCGGGTGAAATTCATTTTATCAGACTGCGATTCTCCTCTATTGATTACTGAAAATCATTTAATGGAACAAGCTTCGGTGACTTATGATAAGACATTGTGCTTTTCAGTTATCGAAAAGGATTCAAACCTGGAAAGTGGCAAGAATTTACCAATATTTTCTTCTCTCGATGACCTAGCTTACTGTATGTACACTTCAGGATCAACTGGCCAGCCAAAAGGAGTATTAATCAGTCAAAGGACAATCAGTTATATGGCTACTAGTTTAAAGGAAATTTTCGATGTCAACGAATTAACTAGATCATCACTTATATCAAATACAGCATTTGATGCCGCAATCTGTGAATCATTTCCTACTTTGGTTAACGGTGGCATTTTACTTCTTCCAGATCCAGAGAAAAGGTATAATTATCGATATTTAGTTGACTGGTTGATCCAAGAAGATATCAACTACTGTTACTTGCCAGCAAAAATACTGGATATGATTTTTGAAAGTGATTTACATCTAGAGATCAAGCACAACATTAAAATTTGGGCATCCGGTGAGCCACTGGGCATGGTAAAAGTATCCAGTTCATCAAACATTGAAGTTTTTAATGTGCTTGGAATGACTGAGCTGACTCCGTTGACTTATGTTTTAGTCAACTCACTGTTAGAACGGGGTGATTTTGTTAAACCTCCTGTTGGTAGACCAGTTCCTGGAGTCAAAGTGTACATTTGTGATTCTTTTGGTCGTCCATGTCCGATTGGTGTTATTGGTGAAATTTATTATTCATCGCCATTGATTGCACAAGGTTACCATAAACTGCCCGAACAAACAAAAGTGAAATTTTTACCAGATTCTTTTAACCCTCATGTTGAAGGATCACGCTTATTGCGATCAGGTGATTTAGCTCGTTGGCGGGAAGATGGATTGATTGACTTTTTTGGTCGGGCTGATGATCAAGTTAAAGTCCGTGGTTATCGCATTGAATTGGCAGAGATTGAAAAGCTTTTAAATAACTTCCAAGGAGTCAAACAATCAATTGTTTTGGTTAAAAGGAATCGAGTCAATGATCCTAGAATTGTGGCTTACTTGGTGCTTATTGAAATCAATTCACAACACACTTCATCTTGGAGAAAAGATTTTGGTTCATCTCTTCATGAATACTTACGAGCTCATCTACCATACTTCATGTTGCCACAAATTTTTGTGGTTCCTCAGTTCCCTCTAAACTCTAACGGTAAAATTGACAAGAGTGAATTGTTGACTTACAATGATTGTGAACCATTGATGAGTTCAATGTTTAGTCAACCAATTACTAAACTTCATCGCGATATGGTTGAAGTATGGTCTCGAGTTTTATCGATTCCCAGTGAATCCATTGGCATTGATGACAATTTTTTCGAGCTTGGAGGACATTCACTCTTAGCAGCAGCCATAGCTGGTGAACTAAATGAACCGCCATATAGTTGTCCAATTACTCCAAGAATGATTTTAACGCTGGCGACAATCCGAGCAATTTGTCAAGTCATTGAACAAGATTCTTCGCACTGTCAACTTCAACCCATTGTTGTATCGCAAACTAAAAGAGAAGTTGATTTGAGCTCAGCTCAATCATGGCTCGCTTTATTTGAATTAGGATTTAAAGGTAAAGGAGTAACTAACGAATTATTCTACTTTAAAGTTCCAAATGATCTACACTGGACCCAAGTTAACGAAGCACTAAATTATATTATAAAACGTCACGAATCATTGCGCATTGTTTTAAATTTAATTAAAGCAAACAAGATTCGCCAATCAGCTGCTCCATTCGTCCCAATCACTATTCAAGTTACCAATTGTTCATCACTGGATGAAGCTGTTGCTCATGGAAAGCGATTACTCTTCTCGCTCGACAAAGTTTTCAACGGTCAACCTTTGGTTAAATTCAACTTTATTCAACTCCCAAGTGATCGTTTGATTCTTATGGTCGCCAACCATATAATCATGGACGGAATATCCTACCAAGTAATATACCAAGAACTTGGAATATTGTTTGATGCAATAAAAACTGGTTCACCTATGAATTTACCTGAAGTGAAAATTAACTTTTTAGACTATATTGACTGGGAAAATCGTGTATTTTTCCAGGATAAAGCTTTAATGGATAAAGCACAGAAATTTTGGCTTCAACGCCTTAAAGGATTTCAAGCCCCGCGTCTTCCTTTGCTTATTGATTCACTTCTTTGTATTGGCGATGATACACACGCTAATTATCTCTGGTTTGATTTAGCAGTTACTCATAAAATCTACACAATTTTGAAGGAATACAGAACGACTCTTTTTGTCTTTACGCAAACCATGCTAGTGGCCTTGTTGCATTTATACACTGATTCAACTGACATAACCCTTCACCAAGCAGCTCGTAGTGTCAATCATCATTGGGCCCTTTCATTGGTAGGAAATCTTGCTGTTGTTAACTACTCTAGAATCCAGTGGACAGGCGACATCACTTTTGTTGATCTTTTACGTTTAACACATAACTATATCATGAAGGAACATGAATTCAGATTTTATTCCTTTCACGAACTTTTACGTACAATTTCTGAATCGCTTAAGGGGGATAATGATGACATTTACAATGAATTCAATCAGATTTTACCAATTACGATTAGCCAAATCTTTGATTGTGATGAACCTTTAGAGTTTTTAGAAGCCATTCATAGATCCGCTTACGTTTTGAACGCTCTAATTGTTCAGTTCATGAAAGTTCAAGAAAGATATACAATCGTGTTGAATTTTTCTCAAAATGGGTTTGATAAAGAAATGATCAAAGAGATTTCCGAGAATGTCGAATATTTTGTCAAGAGAATTGCTGATAATCCAAATATGCTTTTACCTCAATATTTTGAAGAATCAAGAATCACCAAGTGGCGTTGATATTTTATGCCATTTTCAGCAATTGATAACGTATTATCATTTTAATGAATGCTTCCAGATGGAACTTGGACGATATTTGGGTAATCAAATGATAGAGGACACTGGTAATCTTGGATCCTCTACTTTTCGAATTTAATTTAGTTTCCTTGTCAGGCAAATCAAGACTTTCATTGAATATTTTCAACTGAAATAATTTTCTTCATAAAAAGATGTCAATGTGAGGAAAATTTGTTTTTTTCAAATTTCATCATTTAAACACAAAATAAATATGATTATTGAGCTCAAAGCAGAATCTATTTTGTGAAGCAGGTAATTGCCTCTTATTATTGTAATTATCGGTTTGATTGAATAATTCTAACCAGAATAAGAGCGGACAAAATTGAATATTGTTTTGGAGGTTACACACAGTTGACATTTGGCCATTAAACTTGCCTAAGTGATTAAACATATGATAAAACTACATGTGAGCGGAAGAAATTTACTATTGTTTGAAAGGTTACACTCAGTTGCCATTAAACTGGCGTTTAACCATTAAACTTGACTGATATGCGATGAATAAAATCCATGTGAATCAAGAGTGAAGTACGTATCTCAGTTGAATCAGTTAATTTCGATAAAATCTGTATCGATAGTTATATAACTGTAGTTGATTTGTTTTCATTATTTCTGGTAAGATAATGTGTGAAACAATGGAATTATCAATTCAAATAAACAATTACGATTAATTCTGTAATCAAAGTTCCATCTTCTCAATTGTTTAATAAAAACTCGTGATTTTTGCTGATTCGGTTAATTTAAAACAAAGTGACATTTAACGTCATTGTTGTTAATTTTTATCACTATTTCATTCAATATTTAATCACAAATTAAACAGCATATAAAAGCAGAAGCAAAAGTTAATAGAAATCATTAGTTTAATAATTAATTATTGTTAACCCAACAACTACCAATCAAAATGATTCGAGCTGCTATATTCATTGCTTTATTCGCCTTGGCCGCTGCTGCTAGCCTTTCCCTTGACTCCCAATGGGAATCATTCAAGGTAAGTTTAGTTTAGGCAAATCGATTCGATTGTGCGATTAGTGACAACTATTCTTGTTTTATTGTTCAACAGACTAAATACGGCAAATCTTATGATTCGGCTGAAGAAGAAACCTACAGACGAAATTTTTTTGCCCAGAAACTGGAAAAGATCAAGGCTCATAATGAAAGAGCAGCCAATGGTGAAGTTACCTACAGATTAGGAGTCAACAAATTCTCTGATTTGGTGAGTTGGAAACTGTGAAATTTTGAGCCACAACACATCAAATAATTTAATAATAATTAAACTCATTAAATTTATTGCAGACCGCCGAGGAATTCAAAGCAAAATATCTTGGATACAAGCCTGCTCGTCGATCCGCTCCTCTTATTCACAACGTAAACTACACCGTCAAAGCTCCAGCCTCAGTTGATTGGCGAACCAAGGGAATCGTTAGTGAAATCAAAGATCAACAGCAATGTGGTTCATGCTGGGCTTTCTCTGCCATTGCTTCTATCGAATCAGCCAACGCTCAAAAAAACGGTAAACTTGTTGAACTTTCAGAGCAAAACTTGATGGATTGCTCATGGAAATACGGTGATAACGGATGCGGTGGTGGTTTGATGGATGATGCTTTCTCATATGTTAAAGCCAACAAGGGTGTTGATACTGAGAAATCTTACCCATACATTTCTGGAGACGGAGAAGATTACCACAAATGTCGATACACCGCTTCAAACAAGGGTGCTTCAATCTCATCTTTTGTTGATGTTCCAGAAGCTGATGAGAAATCCCTTTTATCTGCAGTTGCTGAACGTGTTGTTTCAGTTGCCATTGATGCTGGACCAGTCCAAGATTATGAGTAAGTTAATCTTTTCAACCAATGAAAAAGCAATTTTTTGATTTGTTCATCATTTTCTTTCTTTAGATCTGGTATTTTAAATACCGATGAGTGCTCAAGCGACCCTCAAGATCTTGACCATGGTGTAGCTGTTGTTGGATACGGTACTGAAGATGGTACTCCATATTGGATTGTCAAGAACAGTTGGGGTAAAGATTTCGGTGAATCAGGTTACTTCCGATTGTACAGAGGCAACAACATGTGCGGTATTGCTGATTCAGCTTCTTATCCAATTGTTTAAATTGTTAATAACTCTTGTATTAACCTGCACTTGTTGATTGATTAAATTTGAGTAGAGATTGTCTAACCAACTGTTTTTGGAAAAACTTATTCAACACTCTTGTAAATCGTGAATCGCAGTAAAGATTGAGATCAAAAGTTTTGATCAATGGAATCATTTATTTAATATCACAATTTTTGAGTATCATAAACAACAAAGTATCACATTGTTATTGTTATTGAGCTCGGCACTGATATCGCTAGATCAACCAACACTAACACAATTCGTTAATGATTTGAATTTCATCGTTGTTTCATTTCTGTGTTAAGTTGAAAATATGAGATACATTGGTATTCCTTTTCATATTTTTCGAGCAAGAAGGGCGCGTTCAAGTTCCTGTTCCTTCACATCCAGGTGGTAATATAATAGCTCCTGATGAATAATGAAACTCTCCGCACAGTTGCTCCGGGTTCTTTTAAACTTTATAAATCATTTATCTTACATTTTAAATTGTA